CCTAGATTGTGTTAAACTTCTTAATTACAGAATTCAGTGCTAAAATATATGCCTCACAGTTGTCTAAAGTCTACTTTACTTTGCGGTGCATAGGAACAGCCAGAGCTCATCAGTGCAATTTATGGGCAAGGGATAGCATATGGAAAGAAAAGGCAACATGTGAGTATTTAATATATTTAAAGCAGCTGACACCAATTACAGTGCATTTTCTTGGAAGTGTGTAAACTTTTGTGAATTCAAAATGTTTGAAAGCTCGAAATGGATCATTCTGTGCTTATTAGAAATATTCTGATATTTCCAACTATTCTGGGAGTGTTTCAAACGCTAAGCACTTGTTTTGCTCAGCAACATTTCAAGTCTGGCCACAATGGATATTTCAGACCTGGAACTCGGTGTTTCAGGCTCCACTTAGTTCAGAGTCAAGGGTTTTACGAAGCACTGCATGAAATGACTTAACGTACATGCATCAGCAGATCCAGAAGAGGGCCAGTTCTGCTGAAATCCTTGAAAAAAAGCCTCTTGTTTTGTTTTGCTTGTAAATGGCCTGGGCCGATATCTAAATTTTGAAGATCAAGATTTAGAACAACCTCATTGCACTTTAGAAGATTGCATCCCCCCCTGAGGCGAGATTGGCCCTGACTTTGTTGGCTTTCCAGGAGAGCCTGGAGAAATGGCATGGTCACCTGGCCTGGGGAATCCATTGATCTTGGTGGGGAATCTGGTAAGTGCTTGTGCTGTTAGAAAAATGAATGGTGTTCTCCTGCAGATTTATGTTTTTATGGTTTTAATATTTTGTTTTTAATCATTTTTGTGGTTATGTTTTGGTTAAGTTTGTATTTTTTGTCTGGATTTTTATAACTTTGTAAACTGCCCAGAATCACAGTAGTTGTAAATTTAATAAATAAACCCTGAATCAGTATAATTTCAAATTTATGTGGTAAGTATTCTCCTTCTTGATCAATATTGAATTAACATCAAGGCTTTAAATAAAGTAGGGTGAATTACCAAAAAAGAAAAGAAAAAGGGAGGCTATGTAAAATAGTTCAAAAATATTTGCATTTGTGATTCTTTTAGGAGTCCAAAAGAAAATGTGTGAAAAGATGGTCTTTTAACCTGGTGGAGAGTGGCATCCTCTGCTGCCTTGAATTTGAAATTGGCATGGCATTGCTGTAGAAACAGCCATATTTTTATGCACTCTTTTTCTTTTAGCAAAACCAAAATCATTATTCACCTCAGCTTCTGATTTCAAAGTATACAGGACATTCTGTTAGAAATGGCCCAGTGAGCCCAGGAGTTCCAATTTTGTTACCAAAGACATAGATGGAAGCAAAACTACTTTCATCTCCAAAATATTGTTGAGAATGAACATAAAGAACAATTTTAATAGATCATTGAGCTATATTTGTCGTATCAAAAGCTCCTTTCTCTTGCTTACATATGAAAGCAGTTGGTTTGATGCTTTTGGTGTTGTTCATTCTAAACTTTCTGAACCTAACTTCACTTTAATTAAAATAAATATATCAAAGCTTATATCCATTATTTTCCAGGATATTAAAAATGCCGAGCTTGCTTTGTTTGAACTAAACAGAGTAATTAATCTGGCACCAGATCATCCTGAAGTGTTTGAACAACGAGCAGAGGTACTTTTCCCTTTTTAAAATAGTCTGATATCTCCATTTTTCTTAAATTATTGAAAGTTCTTTATTGTTGAAATTATCTTAAAGGCAATGTAACTTCTGTGTGCATTTATGCCATCTATATAAGTCAAAGGATAATAGTAATAAGCTTTGTTATATAGTACTTTATACAACTATCAATCTATTAAGAATAGTTACAGTTATTTGGGTGAAAAATAGGCAGAGTCTGAGGATAGAGAAGATAGAAACCAGCTAAAGTTAGTTTTCTCCCACTATTAACCTTAAATACATTAAACCAGACATGTCAAACTCACGACGTCACGGAGCTTTTTCCCCATTGCCGGCAATGAGGTGGGCGCGGTTTCCTGGTGATGCGTCCGGCCCGTGGGCCGACAGTTTGACACCCCTGCATTAAACAATGTATTATAATTACTTTGTAGCTGAGCATACTGAGGTGTATAGTTTACCTTGGTATTTATTAGATGTTTAAAACTGATGTAGTCTTGTATCTCTCAGCTTTTTACAGAAATAACATAGACAATATCACAGTATCAACTAAAATAGTGAAACCTTAAAAAAACATTTAGGAGAGTAGGTTAATGGGTCAGTGCTGGGAGAAAACCATTCTTTACCTCCATTCCGATTCTTCAATTAACCCAGATTGAAGCTTGCCTCAAACTGATTATGACACAAAAAAATGGTTAGATTGTTACTTTGGGACTTTGAGCTTAGATTTATAGTGTAGATATTTTGTCTTGTAATTAAAAAGAACCATTATTTTTCTTTTATATGGCATGTTTGCTGCCCAGAGTTTTATGGTCAGCCTTACAAATCTGATAATAAATACAAAATAAACAGGGGACTTCCAAACTGCTGGAGCACAAGAGTAACCTCTTGGTCTCTTTTTGTTGAAATATGAAACTGGAATCGTGATGCTATCCTGTAAAGAAGTAAACTCTTGCTTTTAGCTTTGTCATTAAGAACCATTGTTTGCTCAGTATTTTAAAATGATAACATAAAATTTTATTAACAAACAGATATGTCCTAAGTAGCACAGAGGAGCTATTCTGGTGCTGGAGGAACTAGGCAGAAAGTTCCTTTTGCTTGGCTTAGTCAGGGGTCTTCAAACTTGGCCCTTTTATGAGTTGTGGACTTTAACCCCCTGAATTGCTCAGCCAGGCATGCTGGCTGAGGAATTCTGGGAGTTGAAGTCCACAAGTCATAAAAGGGCCAAGTTTGAAAACCCCTGGCTTAGTCTATGAAGAATCCTGCATGTATAATAAGGCAGAGGGTAGAAAGAGCATCAATAAGCAGTACTGTTGCTGAGAAAAGTAGAAGTTTTGAATTTGTATAATACTGACAATTTGTTTGGGCAGAGGGGGTAGTGGTCAGGGGTGGTGCCTTTATTATTTTTATTATGTATTTTTATAAATAAGGTGGTGAATATACACAATACTCCTTCCTCCACCTATTTTCCCCCGAACAGCAACTCTGTTTGGTAGGTTGGGTTGAGAGAAAGTGACTGGCTCAAAGTTATCCAGCTGGTGACTCAGTCTTCTACTTTCTAGCTTAGTGCCGCAACCACTAGACTAGACCAAACTGGCGGTCTCATTGAAAGATCTC